CACTTCTCAAGGACTATATCGAGCAAGACAGAGTTTATGATTTCCTTGTTGGTTTGAATCCTGAATTTGATCAAGTAAGGATTCAAATATTGGGGAAGCAAAAGGTACCATGCTTCAATGAAGTGGTGGCTATTGTGAGAAGTGAAGAAAGTAGAAGGAGTCTCATGTTAGAGAGTCCAGCAGTAGAGAACTCAGCAATGGTGGCTGACCATAAAGGAGATCAGACTTTGGCCATGATAGCCGAACAGAAGAAAGGAGGATCAACAAATGTGGACAAGAAAGGTGATGGTCTATGGTGTACCTACTGCAATAAGCCCTGTCATACTCGAGACTCGAGAGAAGTGCTGGAAGTTGCATGGGAAGCCTTTAAATCGAGACCGAGAAGGGGGATATAGATGAGGCTCCTCAAGGAAAGGAGGACAAGTTTATGTTGCTGCTGGAACAAATGAAGAAAAAAAACTAGAAGCTACTGCCCATCTTAACCAAGAGGAGATAGAGAGGATGAGAGCCCTCCTTAGTAATCTGGAAAAACAAACAGGTGTGTGTTCTTTGGCATACTCAGGTAAGTTTCCACTTTCTTTTGGTTAAATGTCTCAGATACACCCTTTAACCACTATTGGATATTGGACTCTGGAGCCACAAACCACATGACACCATTAGCCAAACACTTCTCCACATATTCACCATGTCCTAGCAACAAGAAAACTGCCACAGCAGATGGAACCCTTATAACTACAGCTGGTCAAGGAAATATACAAATCAATCCTTTAATAATCTTAAAAGATGTTCTCCATGTCCCAAAGCTTTCCACTAGTAAAAAAAATGTGTGAAAAATATATCTTACAAACATCTAAAAATTAGTATGAAATTATGTTTTTTTTTTAATTGTCTTTTAGACTTACTTTTGTACCAGTTTTTTTTACCATGTTTGCACTTTGTACTAATACTTTTTGTACTAATACTTTTTTATTTGAAATTCATTTGTGTCCAATAATTTATATATAAATGAATCTAATGAGGCAAGTTCAAGTTTTGAATTAGTTAGAAAATGATCCAAAATGATATCTTATAATTAAATATAATCATTGTTTTAAAATAATCAAATTGATATAAATTTAAGAGATAAAGGATAAAAATAAGTATTTTGAAAGATAAAAGACTAAAATAAATAAGATAAAAGAGATACACCATTTAAATAAAGGAAATTTCTCTCTCTTAATTATTAATTATTTTTAATTACTAAATTATCATTTTTAAATTTAAAAAATGAGATACACCATACTTGCATAAAAAGCACGTACTCAGCTAGAACATTACAAGACGAAGTATGGTTATTAGTAGCAACATGAGATATTATATTTTCTTTTTTCTTATTTTTTTTTAATCACATCGCTTATTGCATCTATTTGAGTTTTTATTTTATTTTATTTTATTTTCTATTCATAATTTTGGGAGTTTACTAATTTAATTTATTTTTGAAGAGTTTTAATAATATTCTTTATGATATCTTTATAAGAAATGTTATTATAGTGACATATAAAATAGCGTTATAAATATAATATGTGTAAATATAAATCTATTTGATATATTCATAAATAATTTTAGTATTGATTTTAAATTAGATTGAATAATATATATTGTGTATCATTATATTTTATATATATTTATATTTTTTTAATAATTTATTAATATATATTATATTTATAATATAAGTAAAAATAATTTTTGATGACAAATATTATATGACTATAAAATATGTGATACTATAAAATAATTTTTTTTTATATATATATACCCTTTTAAATACACTTTCTTTTATTAGTTAAAATTTTTTTAATACTACAAAACCATGATAGAAGTTCTTCAAATAAGACTTGAAACCTAAAATATATTTTGATATTCAATCAAATTCATCCAATAAAAAAACATCTCATACTATTTTCCATCTTCCCCCTTGAATCTCCTTTCTATTGCAGGCAACTTCACTCAAGTGTGGTGGAATAATAGTGGCATGCACATTTGACCATCGCATAGCCGATGCCTACTCAACAAACATGTTCCTCGTATCATGGGCCGAGACGGCTCAGCCCAACAAGCCCAAAACCGCCACCGTCGCCGCCGCTTCCCGCCACCCATGTTTCCGCCGCTCCCTTCTCAGCCCTCGCCGCCCAGGTTCCATCCACCCTTCCCTCCGCCACATGTACACCCCCATCTCCGAGCTCCCTCCTCCTCCGGCCACCTCCGCCGCCGCCGCCACCCTCCTCAGCCGCATATACTACGTCACGGCGGAGCAGCTCCGCCGCATGCAGTCCCTCGCCGCCACGCGCTCAAAGCTGGAGTGCTTCTCCGCATTCTTGTGGAAGATGGTGGCACGTGCGGCTTCACGAGACAAAGCCACCGAACGCGTTGTGGCGAAACTTGGCATCGTGGTTGATGGAAGGAAGAGACTTGGCAACGATGATGACAAAGAGAGAGAAGCCATGATGGACTCTTACTTTGGGAACGTGCTTTCCATACCCTTTGGCGGGAAACCTGTGGAGGAGTTGTTGGAGGAGCCGCTAGGGTTGGTGGCGGACGCCGTTCACGAGTTTTTGGCGGCCGCCGCCACCAAGGAGCACTTCTTAGGACTAATTGATTGGGTGGAGGCCCATCGACCGGTCCCTGGAGTGGCTACAATTTATTGTAGTCACAATGAGGGACCGGCTTTTGTGGTGTCCTCTGGTCAGAGGTTTCCAGAGGACATGATGGATTTTGGTTGGGGGAAGGTTGTGTTTGCATCATACCATTTTCCTTGGGGTGGTGAAGCTGGCTATGTTATGCCCATGCCAAGTCCTTTGGGGAATGGTGATTGGGTTGTGTACATGCACCTTGCAAAGAGGCAGTTGGAGATCATAGAGTCTGAGGCGGTTCATGTGTTTAGGCCCTTAACTTGGGATTACCTTAACCAATAATAATTGATATGGTGTTGAATGATATTGTCTTAATTATTGTATGTGTTTGTTTAAATGTTGGTTTAGTTGTTGTAACAAATACTATATGTAAGGTAGTTGGTTAAGTTTGTGAAGTGTGAAACTTGGTAGAGTTGGCAGGGTTTGTGGTTAGCTAATGAATATTGATGGTAAATGCATGAGTGTGATTGAGGATTTAATATATAATTAATATTGTACTTGGATCATTAATGTTAGAAATTAAAGTGAATGTAAGCAACAACTATCATGCATTCCCTTAATTAATTGGATGCTTAATTAAAGTATTAATGTAAGCAACAACTGATTAATACTCTAGACAACAACTTCTCTCCATATATATTTTAAAGAAAGAAAACAAGAAGCGATATTTTTTCAGATATTCCCAAAACTTCAATTCTTTGTGAGAAATAGGCCAATTGTACAAATCTTAACATTAATTTAGGTCAAATTCTTATTAATAAAATTTGAGAGTTATTTTTATTTTATTTTATTTTAATTTGGGTCAAAATCTGCCGAATTTCATGAAGAATGACATAACAACAGTAATATGGTTTTGATCATCAACGAACAATCTTGTTCAATGTTTTTGTACTAAGGTTTTTAACTGATGCCACGTGAAGACCAATGAGAAGGCCCAAAAATCCAGCCTTTTAAAGCATGACACATTCTCATACACCAATCTTCTTAAAGAAACCATACAAGAATTTCCTTTGTAATTGAACCTTAGAGAATAAAAAACAGGCCGTTTGATTCTATAACTGTTACAGATTCGTAAGAGTATAGTTCTACCACATTTTTTGTTTTCAATTTTTTCACAAGTCTCAAATTTAGTTAAATTGACCAATATTGAAACTAAATCAATTTAAAGTCTAGAGGAAAATTACAAAAGGTAGACTAGGGTCATAAAAATATTCACCAAGCAAGGTAGCATGTCTAAAAAAATGCATGTAATAAAGTGTTTTGTTAAAATGGATTTTCTGCCACGAATCCTTAATAAGGCAAAGTAGGGGCATCTTTGCAAATCCTTGTTTTGCGTAGTGCCATTTAGAGAAAGAGGAGATTTTACATAGTATATGAGTTTGCCAATTCGTGTAAGAAAGATTTTGGGTTGTCTTTGATCTTTGATCATAGCTAGATTTCTTGTATAGAATATCTTTTATTATAAGACGTCGTTTATCTAATGCATATTCGAGCTTAGGGGCATAAAAGCCTTCATGTTTAAGGTAAAAAACAAAGCTAAACATTATAGACACACTTTTGTTGAGATTGAAAATTTACTTCACAATTGACTTTCAATTTTTGGACAATATGTTGGGTATACTTTAATGGTACAATTCTAGGTGAATACACGAAAGAGAGAAAAAAAAACATATATGCATTTATATTTAACAGATGTTATCAAATTGTTTATCAACGTTGATTTTGAACGTGTTTAATTAAACTCAAACACACACATAGTACTTGTGTAACCTAGTGGACGAAGACGCTTGTCTAATGTATTGGATATTAATTGTAGACATTCCTTAGACACATAATACATATGTTACACTTGTTATTTTTATAAGATTGGTAGAAGACATGTTATTTAATAATACAATTTTTGTCTTCGTTCTTCTACATTTTGAATGTATGTTTTTTGCAATAACTTAATTGGTCAAATCATTAGTTTATCATATTTATAATTTTGTTATATTTAAAATTAGAGTATTAGATGTTCATAATCATCTTTGGTTCAATAAATTAAGCCTCTTATGTAGAGCGTAAAAAACATGTTGGACCTAAAAACTGAAACTTTTACCCTTCCATCTCTATTGCCACTATTTTTTAAATATTGTGATCCATTTACACAAAATTTTCATTTTACATCTCCTTCATACATTAATTGCTACATAATTGATATAGAAAGTTATGCGATAACATTTTTACAATTTAGAACAACTTTTGTACATTAATTCTAAAATAATCAATGTTAAAAACTCATTTTACATCAATTCTAATTTGAATTGATGTAAAACTAAAGTAGTTTTTTTTACATCAATTTAAATAATAATTGATGTAACACATGTTTTGAATTTTGAAGCAACTTTATGTCTTTCACAACAATAATGAGTTAATGCGAAATGGGTTTGGGTCTCAAAGCTAATTAACCTTCCAATGCTGCTAAAGACCTTTGCTCTTAGATGTGAAATGTGGGGTGTAGTTGCATGTTGTCAATAGGGGTATGCATCATGGGGGTGGGGGTGAAGAGGTGACTTCGAGTTGGGAATGACAATGCCAAGAACAAATATTAGGTTAGGGCATTAAGGTAAGTAGAGACCAAGGGACTAAGGGGTGCCTAAACTTTGACAATGGGAGGGATTTGTGGGTGAGGAGGGAAGCAACTTAACATGTTGGGGGTACAGTGACAAGAGGCTTGGACTGTCAAGTGGAGGAGGGGGGAAAAGCGTTCAGTCACAAAGGTTGTTCTTATGGATCTTCATTCAATGTTTCTATATCAATTAAAATTTAACAATGTAAATAGTTATTTTTTTTTATGCATTTGTGGCATTTACATCAATTATACAACCAATGTATAGAATGGTGTATTTGTAAGTGAGATTTGAAACTCACTTATTTGTGCAATGGTGGAAAATCTACATCCATTAATTTTATGAAATTATTGATTTGACACATGATTATTGTAATTTCTAATTCATGCTACTCACTACTCAAGTTTTGAATATAAAAAAGAATATGAATGACATTAATTAAGAAAGCTAATTTATATCATTTAATTTTTTCAACTCCATCTAAAAAATAAATTATTTTTCTAAATTACCCTTTAAATTTGATATCAAGAATAAAAAATAACATTAAAAATACAATCTCAATTAAATGAATGAATATTTTAGGGATAATAACATTAAATAAAATAAATTAAATTAAAATTTATTTATACTTCAAACCAACATGCATGATATTTTATTTTATTTTTACTTATACTTAGAATTGGATAAAGTATTACTTATAATTGCAGGCAAAAACCATTGATTTTGAATTCGTAAAATGACCAAAAAAAAGATTACAACGTTTTAAAAATAACAAAATAAATCATAATGTTTGTAATATTTATTCGTCAATACTGGAGGATAGGGTGGTAATTTTCAATTGTTATATATATATATATATAT